ATGGATGACACAACTGTGAATAGAGAGGTCTAACTCTTTCCTCATAACGAGAACTTTAGCAGTCACTTGACATCCAAGTATTATTCTCATGGTCTTATTCTGTAAAACTTCAAAGGGTTTGAGGGCACTCGGTGGCAGCATACTAAGAATTGAGCTTGCATAGTCTATCATGGACCTAACAGGGGATATATACATCAACCTTAGGACTTTCAGGGAGGCACCTACATACCTGTCACTTATGAATTGCAATGACCTTAAATGCTTAAGGCAACGTTCCTTGATGTTTTGAACAATATCCTTGGTGAAGTGTGAGTTGTGGGACATGACGTGGGGAGCAGTCAGCATAACACCAAGATATTTGTTGGTATCAGTTCTTGCAATAGTTTGTCCACCTAACCTCGGAATGTAAGATAGTTATGAGATCTAGAACTATGCTTAGTTTTGATTGGGTTGATCATGAGATCAAGAGAGGTACACTTTTTGCTGAATCTCTGTAAAACATAATGACCCCCTATCAAATACCAGAATAATAATGTCATCAGTATAGGATGTGATGCTGCATAGGTTTCCTGACTCATCTTTGAGCTTGGGAAGAGAGTACATATGTACACTAAACAGTGTAGGGGACAATACTCCCCCTTGTGGAGTGCCTAATTCCAATTCGCCATAAACTCTGTAAGTACCTTGATACCACACCTTTGCTCTTCTCAAAGAAAGATAATTTATCCATAGCAGAAGCTTGCCTTTAACCCCTAAAAGCTAGTTCTTGAAGGATTGCAGTAGGGGAGGCTCTGTCGAAAGCTTTCTTAAAATCATTGAAGTAAGAAGACTGTGCATTACTTCCATTTAGGTACTGTGCTAGATACATTTGTATTCCTCTCCCTTTTTGAATGCCATAGACGGATGGATGGATCATGTTTTTGATCTGGTGGAGTAAACGAGTAAGGAGGAATCTTTCACAGGTTTTAGACAGGCAGGACATCAGAGAAATTGGTCTATATTCATCAGGCCGCCATGTAGGTTAAGTTGAAGAGATCAAGAAAATGTAAATGGTGCATCAGCCTTATCTAAGAGGTGGCACTGATAGTCAATTTCGTTTTTATGGCTTAAGTTAAGGGAGCACCTGCGTATGGATGATGGGAGACTATCAAGAGAAAAATCTTCACACCATTTATTGAAGAGAGATGAGGCTACCTTTCTGGATGCGGGTGGGGTGTTATACTGCATATATTGCCTTTAATCTTGCTGATTAACTTCCATACATTACTCATGGGTGTCATGGAGTCAATTGATTCTGCCCAGGCATAAAAAGTGTCTTAGCTAAGTATGTTTTTTTTTTTTTTTTCCCGAAGCGTCGTAGCTGACTTACTGCAGAACGTATGAGCCTCCTAAGAAGTTTTATCTCAGGGTCTTTGTTCAGGAGGATGAAGATCCGTGCTTGGCAGGGCTTTTAGGCTTTATTTGAGTAATGATATTGCCAACTTGCTGACAGAGAGTTTCATTAAAGTGATCCAGGCTGGTAGGAGTAAAGTCTTCATACCAGCAGGCAATTCTTTCAATGGATTCATCATGATATTTAGTAGCAAGGTGGTATCGAAGGCGTGGCTGGAGTGGGGTTCTTTTGCAAAAAAGAAGGGTTATACTTAATGCCTAGTGATCACTAACTAAGAATGGAATGACTTTCGCAGTACTTGGTAGTGTGTGCTGGTTGTATAGAGCTATATAGTCCAATTTCCCGCCCAAATAATGAGTTTTACGAAGGGGCATAATAAGTGTATGGGGTCACTAGTATTTTTGAGATGGTCATAATAAAGCTTACCGTTTTTGCCAATGGTACTTCCTTCGGAGCCTAGGAGAGGATGGCGAGCATTAAAATCCACACACAATAAGACAGTATCAGTATGTATCATACAGTCAGGAGGTTTAGGTACCACCTCACAATCATGTGGATTATATACATTACTGATAGTGATAGCTCTACCGTCAAGAAATATATTAATGCTAAGATATTCAACACAGGAGTTGTCATGATTATCATCAATCACTTTCGATGGAATTGAGTTTTTTATGTAAATGCCAAGCCCTCTCGTAGAGGGGTTAGCAGTATTTGGTCTGTCATAGTATGTGTATCCCGCAATTTTTGCATAACGAGCACTAGTTCTGACTTCCTGAAGGCAACACACATCAACGGGGTACTGGGAGAGAGTTGCCTTGCGTTTCTGCAAGCTGTTTATGTTCCAGGTAATACATTTCATGTGATTAACTGGAGACATTGCTTACTAGACCATTTCCTAGGCCCACTACAGGGTAATGCTGTTGTTGATCGAGGAGGGACGAGAATATCCTTTCCTGAAGTTGAGATTGCTGAACCATTTGTTGCTGCATCATGAACATCATGTTAGGGCTGGTGCTGCAGCTGGTGCTGAAGCTGTTGAAGCTGGTGCTTGAGTTGACAGAGCTTGAACTCCTGCTTGTGCTGTTGCTGTGACCAGTGCCATGGCTTCCGTTGCAGGGGCCATCACTGTTGACCTCTGCAGGTGTGGGAATTCCCTCACATCATCGAAGCGCGGGGCTGGCGGGGACTTTTGTGTATGGGTGTGTAGGGGGGGGGGGGGGGCTGTTTTTTCACTATTTGTTTTCCTGTCCTTTTGATAGTAAGCGCATAATGGAGAATTGGCATTATGCTTTTGTTGGCAGTTCACGCATTTCCGAGGGATATTTTTTCCTTTGGAAGTCTTTTCTGCACATTCGCAGTATCGGCATCGCGGTGTGTCTCGTGGACAAGCACGTGTTCCGTGGCCCCTCTTTGAACAATTTGAGCAAAACGGGGTCAGGGATTTGAAGACGGTACACCTAAAGGATGCCATGCCCTCAACCATTTTGATACTTTTGGGGATTACCTCTTCCTCATACGTAATGATGACTCTCTGGGTCATCATTCCATTAACCTTCATGCGCCTCGCATGAATGATACATTCATTGTATGTGGTCATTTCTTAAAATGTGCACACAGGTGTCTGGGAGGTGTAACTTCCACAGAAGCAAATAGCTGCCTCTGATTTTTTCTTCATCCTTTCCGGGGCCCCACCTCACTGAGGACATCATACCTCCCCTTGGTTTCCATTGTGCCATCTGTGGTCGCGGTCATTCCCCGACCATGAAGGGGACAACCTGAGTGCCTGTCCTTTGAAAATAAACAGTAACGCACATGGGTTGCCTACAGTGCCCCTCAGCACATCTGGGAGTGTGCGTGGGAGCTTTCGCTTTTAGTTTTAATATTTGTTCCTTGTATCACTCTATAACTTATTCTTATGTGAACATTATCACACACTGGATCAATATACAGTTGACAGGTCTGTGAATTCCTGATTGCCTAGGTATCACAGACCCTTTAAGGACATGTCACAAGGTTGCGAGAGGACACTATACAGGTCCTTACACTATGGTGTCGTGACATTAACTGAGAGAGAGAGAGAGCGAGACAGACAGACAGAGAGAGACATATATATTTATATTAACCCTTTGCCTATGGGCATGGCATGTACGTATATACCATGCCCATTTTGAGTTTACTTGTTTAATTGTTTTTACACATAGATGGCTACACTTGTACTAAGTCACCAATGAGCCAGTTACGAGTACCGCCTGTCTCGCTCGTTCACCCTTTTCGTTGATTTACGAAAATATTGAACGTTATCTTATTTTGCTGTTACAAATGTTTATAACATTATAGTAATTATAATGTTTATAATAAAAATAACACCATCTATATTTATAGCACTAGTAAAAATAGTTTTTTCGCACCAATTCAAGGAAAGGTAAAATCCTTTATGGCCAAGTACTAGCAGAGCCATCTAGTAACAGGGACATTTCCCAAAAATATAAAAAATGAGCACATAATTTCCCCCATTTTTTATTCATTTTTCCCTGGCGGCAATGGGTTCACATATATATGTGTGTATATCTATATATGAATGAGGAAAACATTCTACCGTGTTGATACTATGGTAGAAAAACCCACAATGTAAAAACTAGATTTATTGAAAATGAAAGTGAGACGACAGTTTCGGAATCCATCTGGATTCCATCCTCAGGTCTGAAGAGGAAGGGGTATAAGAGGGAGAGAGGACAGGCAACGCGGTGACACGGGGCAGGTGAAGACAGATGGACGGAAGCGAAGGGAGGTCAGATCAGGTCGGAGGGTCGGGCGGATTGTGTGCAGGATGGCCGGCGTACGGGAGAAGGCGGAGGATGAGTGAAGCGAGGAGGCTGCCAGCGGGAGAAAAGCCGCTGTTCAAGTTAAAATTAGGCAGCAGCTTTATTAAGGAAGATTCCACCAGTCTGCGGGCGTGGACGTCAGCGGAGGGGAAGACAATTCGCCAGTCCCACTGATGGCAGAAGAGAGCGTTGTTGTTGTGTCCCCTGGATATAGCATACTTATGTTGAGACAAGCGCTTAGTGAGACTAGCGCCCGTCTCGCCAAAGTATTGCTTGTCACAGGAGCCACAAGAAACAGCATAGGTGCCCACCTTCGAGGAAGAGGGAGGGCTGGTGTGGACCAGGTTACGACGGAGAGTGTTCACCTTGTGTGTATATGTGTAATATATTAGTGAACAAACTGTGTATGGACCAATGATATGGCAACACTGTTATTATTGTAGACAGAAGTCAGTCGCACTGTCACCACGGAACGGGACGGATGTACGTCACTTCCGAGCCTCGTGTATCTAGTCTCTACTGTCAATATATCACCAAAGGATTTACGCGAGTTTATCTATCCACATCTGGTAAGACATTCTGTGGACATCCCACACCCACATGGCGCAGTGAGTTTCAGTGAAAAGACAGTAAAGAGAGGAACCGGCAGTGTGACTCAGCCATGCAGCGTCCTCGTGTTCAGTGACTACCCTCATGTTGTGAAGTGTCTGAGTGACTTGTGTGGTGTTAGTGAAGTGCAGTGATCTCTTGTGGTGTAGTATGTGCAGGGAATACAGCTGTCATTCAATTTCCCCGCATTTTTGGTCATTTTGGCCAGAGCTACGCTCTATATCACCACGCATCCTGTCTGCAGCGGCACTGGCCCTCTCGCCGCACCACACCGCCCGAGAGAAGAAGCTCCGCCCCTTCGTGACGTCGAGCCCCAGGATTGGCCGACCGTGCCCAACAGCTCTGACGTCGCAGCGTCCGTCTGCGAGGCGCCACGAGGAAACTCCGAACCACCAGACACGTAAAATATACTTCATATAAACCAAAATGCCTAAAAAGACGAAAGCAGCGGCTAAACAAGAGGAAGTCACGCCGTCTCCCTCTTCGACATCGCCACCAGAAGCGCAGCCACCCATGGACGTACTATCGCAAATGATGGAAATCTGGCGGCATGAGGCGGAGGAGAGGAAACAAGCGGAAAAACAACGTCGACAAGAGGACGAGGAACGACGACGAGAGGAAGATCGCCGACGACAAGAGGAAGACAGGCGAAGACAGGAGGAAGACAGACGTAGAAGAGAGGACGACGAGCAGAGAAGGAAGGCTGAGGAACAACGATTCTTGCAGCTGATTGCTACCCTCACCACGTCTCCCACTCCCCCGCAGACTGTAGGACCACAGCCTGCTGTCGCCACAGACCTTCCGACTTCGGCGCCTTCGTCAGGTACTCCAGCAATGAAGGCTTCAGTCCAGCCTCCCCCACCCCTCGCCCAAGATGTTACTTTGCGGTCGTACAAAGAATGGCGACAACGATGGGATGACTATGCTGTCATGATTGACCTGCATAACCTGCCTCAGCATAAGCAATTAATACACTTGCGTGCGTGCTTATCTGCTGACATGAGAGGAACACTGGAGCACAGTTTAGGCGTGTCTCCAGCCTCAGATTTGCCTCTCAGGGATGTCCTCCAGCGAATCCGGAACTTCGTTCGAGACCAAAAGAATGAGGCTTTACGACGTCTCACCTTTTCCCAGTGCAGGCAGGCCCACAATGAGAAATTTACAGATTTTTATGTACGCCTAAAGCAAGCTGCAAACGATGTGGATCTGTGTAAAGGACATAGCAATGCTTGTATCGAGACCCAAATCAAGCATGCCATCTTGATAGGTGTTAAAGATGAAGAGACCAAACAACGCCTGTTAGAGATGAAGTCCGACGCCACCCTTGATGACGTAATAACTGTGTGTAGATCTCGTGAGGCTGCCGAGTCTACCACCCAAGAACTACGCCCATTGCAACCAGCTACACGTGCATTGTCTGTTTATAAGCAGCAAAAGCGGCGAGCTGCCAAGGGTAACACTGAAGGACCCTACCGAAAAGTAACCAGTCGCCCTCCTAAGTCTCCACAACCACAGCCAAAAGAACTTTGTGACCATTGTGGATATAGGACACACGTCAAGAAGAAGTGCCCTGCTTCTACTAGCACCTGCCGTACCTGTGGCAAAGTAGGTCACTTTGCCAGCCGTTGTCAGTCATCAAAGAAGAAAAGGCTGCCACCCACAGAAGGGAATGTTCTTTCAGTTTCCCAAGTTTCGCACAACATAGCCAAAGTCTGCGCAGTTGAAACTGAATCCCGTGTAGGCCCTGCATCTCCGACGATTAGATTGTTAGTGCAGTCAGGAGACTCTTCAGCATATATAGACTGCATACCTGACACAGGATCTGACACAACCGTGATGGATGTTACCCTTCTCAAGTCTCTAGGATTAACCACAGACAACCTGGACAAATCTACAAACTTCGGGCTGCATAATCCTGATGGATCGCATATGAACTGTACTGTCCTTGGATCATTATATGTAAGCATGACGTATGGTACAGTCACCATACAGGGTTGGATAAATGTGTTGAGTTCTTTACCACGACCTCTGCTGTCTTGGAGCCACACACAACAGCTACAAATTATCCCCAAGGACTACCCACGACAGATCCTAGGCAGAAAGCATGGTAAACGCTTTCCCAGTGAAAACCTGCAAACAGTTCAACCTGGAGAGGTAGCAAGAATTGTTACAACTCCCAAAGTTATGCCTGATCACCATTCAGTGACACCCCAGGAGGCCACAGGCCAACAGCCAGCTCCACCTCAACCATCACAACAGTTCCCGTTACATCCACCAAGACCTCCTCCATTCTCAGCATCCCCTGATGAAGCGAAGAAGTTTTTCCTTCGAGAATTTCCAGACGTTCTCATGACGAAGGAAGATTTCCGACAGGGTATGAAGCTCAAGGAGATGTGTGGAACCCCTATGAGGATCTTCATAAAGGAAAATGCCAAACCATTTGCAGTGCACACGCCCCGTGTCATTCCCCTTGCCTGGCGGGATGACGTCAAGACAGAGTTGGACTCCATGGTGGCTCAGGGCATCATTACTCCTGCAGGTGATGAACCATCACAATGGTGTCACCCCTTAGTGGCTGTAGCTAAGCCTAATGGAGGAGTCAGGATCACTGTTGACCTCACTAAACTCAACAGTCAAGTGCTACGCCCTGCCCATCCCTCACCAACGCCTCATGATGCTGTTCGTCGTATCAACCCTAAGGCGAGGTACTTTTCCACCTTGGATGCCTTATATGGCTATTGGCAAATACCTTTAGAAGAGCAAGATCAACACTTAACAACATTCATCACCCCTTATGGTCGCTTCCGCTTTTGTCGTGGACCCATGGGCTTTGCAGCCACAGGTGATGAATACTGTCGTCGAGGTGACATAGCACTCGACGGAGTACAACAGTGTGTGAAGGTGGTAGATGACGTCCTTCTATGGGATGAGGAACTATGCATCCCACCTAAAGCGAGTACAGGAAGTTCTTATGAGATGCCGTGCACATCGCATTACCATGAACGCTGACAAGTTTGTGCTCGCAGCCCCAGAAGTGTCATTCTGTGGATATACCCTGTCAGGAAATGGAATTGCAGCTGAAGAAGAGAAAGTTCGTGCCATTGCCGAATTCCCAAAGCCAGCTAACCTGACAGACCTTCGATCATTTATGGGCTTGGTGAACCAATTGGCTGAATTCACCCCTGCAATTGCCGAGTCTGCTGATGTTTTACGCCCTCTTATGAGTCCCAAGCGTACCTTCACATGGACTCCTGACCATGATGCAGCATTCAGCCGTGTGAAGAAAGCTCTCTCACAACCACCTGTTCTCGCCCATTTCGACCCAGCACTCAAGACCATACTTCAGACGGATGCTTCCCGTCTCTATGGTGTAGGCTATGCACTGTTGCAAGAACATAAGCCTGGAGAATGGCGATTAGTGCAATGTGGTTCCCGGTTTCTAGCAGATGTGGAGACGAGATATGCCACAATTGAGTTGGAATTAGTGGCTGCAGTATGGGCTATGATGAAGTGCAAATATTACCTGCTTGGTTTGCCCCACTTCACCCTGATGACAGACCATAGACCTCTGGTGCCCATACTTAACTCATACACATTAGATGCTATTGATAACCCCCAACTCCAACGCCTGAAAGAGAAGATAGCAGGTTATGTCTTCACAGCTACATGGCGTAAAGGAAAGGAACTCTCAATCCCAGATGCCCTTTCCCGTGCTCCTGTGGATTCACCATCCCCTGAAGATATCGCTCTTAGTGATGACACACGTCACTATGTCAGATGTATAATCACTCAGCGTATGGCCACTCTGAGCACAGTATCAGGGACAATACAGACAAGTGACTTGGTGCTTGATAAGATGCGAGCAGCAGCACGCGAAGATTCGGTATATGTTAAGCTCCTCGACAAAGTGACTCATGGTTTCCCTGCCAACCGTGACAATTTGGACCCTGACCTACTCCCATATTGGAAGGAACGTGACAATTTGTACCACGATGAGGACCTTATCCTTTTGGGACCCCGCATTGTAGTTCCTTCTACACTTCGCCGAGAAGTGTTGGCTCGCCTACACGACAGTCACCGTGGCGTGGAGGCCACAAAACGTCGTGCCCGACAGACTGTATGGTGGCCTGGTATCAATTCAGATATAACAAATGCAGTCAGATCATGTGAGCCTTGCCAAGTACTTCTGCCAAGTCAGCAACAAGAGCCCATGCTGACAGAAGAAGCACCCACCAAACCCTTTGAGTCTGTGTCAGCTGACTTTTTCAGTGCAGCGGGGAAGTCTTTCCTTGTTTACGTTGACCGACTCTCAGGATGGCCTGTGATAGCATGCTGTGGCACTGACACTACAGCTGCCGCCACTATAAGTTTCTTCAGAAGATTCTTCCGCGACCTAGGTGTCCCTCTTCGGCTGCGCACTGATGGTGGACCTCAGTTTTCGAGCCGAGATTTTAATGACTTTTTGTGTCGATGGGGTGTTCGCCATGATACATCCTCTCCCCATTATCCACAAAGTAATGGTCATGCAGAAGCTGCAGTGAAGGCTTTGAAACACCTAGTTTTGAAGGTCGCCCCTTCTGGTATCCTGAATGAAGCTTTCGACCGTGGATTGTTGGAACTCCGTAACACACCACGTCAGGATGGCCGTTCCCCTGCGCAAGTTTTGTTTGGCCACCCTCTTCGTTTCCGTGTTCCAGCCCACAGCTCATCTTTTGCTCCAGAATGGCAAGCAAAGACAGAAGAGTGTGATCGCCGTGCAGCTATGAGGACACAAGCTGCTAAGGCATTATACGACTCGCACGCCAGACCATTACAGCCACTGCAGATTGGATCGCAAGTCCGGATACAAGATCCTGTCTCCAGACGATGGAATAAAGTAGCTGTAGTCATGGGAATTGGTCGGAGCCGCGACTACCTTCTCCGGACGACTTCAGGACGAGTACTTTGGAGAAATCGTCGATTCCTTTGAGTTGTGCCCATTCCATCTCACGCACCTGTGGAGGACAAGCGTGAGGACGACCCCGACCGCCCAGCCCAAGATTCTCCTTGCCCACGTAGACATCGTCAACCCAGAAGTTATGGCGCCAGACGACGTTCTCAACGTATTGCTTCCCGTTCATAGGCTTATGAACGTGAGGAGGGGGGAGATGTGTGTATATGTGTAATATATTAGTGAACAAACTGTGTATGGACCAATGATATGGCAACACTGTTATTATTGTAGACAGAAGTCAGTCGCACTGTCACCACGGAACGGGACGGATGTACGTCACTTCCGAGCCTCGTGTATCTAGTCTCTACTGTCAATATATCACCAAAGGATTTACGCGAGTTTATCTATCCACATCTGGTAAGACATTCTGTGGACATCCCACACCCACACACCTGGCGAAAGATCAGCCTGCAATTGAGAGTGTGAAGAGGGCGGCGGAGAGAGTGGATCACCTCCGTGTAGGGCAGGCTGAGGGTGGGCAGGTGAGGAGTCTCTTTAGGAGAGGACTCGTGGTAGAAGGTCCGCCGTGCTCTGGATAGCGCGGCGTCAAGGATATGACGAGGGTAGCCCAGTTTGGAGAACGAACGACGCAGAAAGTCGATCTCTCCATCCAGGTACTGGGGGTCACAGATGCGGAGGAACAGCGACGTGGCAACACCTCTCTTACATGAAGAGGATGGTAAGAGAAGAAGTGTATATACATACCACTATGCATGGGCTTCCTGTATATGGAGAAGGAGAAGTGGTCAGCAGAGCGATGAACTAGGGTGTCCAGGAAGGGGAGCTTGTTGCCAGCCTCCCATTCCACCTTGAAATGGATGGAAGGGGAGAGAGAGTTCAGCTGGGTCAAGAAGTCCGAGAACAGGGCAGGGTCATGAGGCCAGAGAGCGAAGACGTCGTCGACATACCTCAGCCAAACCGTCGGACGAAGAGAGATGGAAGGGAGAAGCTCAGATTCGAAGAATTCCAAAAACAGGTTAGCCAAGACCGGAGAGAGGGGAGAGCCCATAGCAACACCGAAGGTCTGGGAGTAGAAGCGACCCTCAAAGGAAAAGGAGTTTGATTCCACACACAGACGAATCAGCTGGAGAAAGACGTCGGTGGGCAGAGGGAGACGAGGATCCTCTGGGGGGAGGCTCCTCTCAAGGAAAGTGAGGACGTCATCTAGCGGGACCTTAGTGAACAGGGAGTCGACATCCAAGCTCATCATGGTCGCCGGCGAGACACCCCGGACACGGGAGATGAAGTCCTGGGAATGACGGAGGTGAACAGGAGAGAAGATGCCGAGAAGGGGAGTGAGGGTCTTCGCCAGCCAGGCTGCCAGAGGGTGCGTCACAGATCCCCGGGAAGAGATAATGGGGCGCAGGGACACGGCCGGCTTATGGGTTTTAGGAAGCCCATAGAAGTGAGGGAGGCGAGGGTTGATCGCCTCCGGGACACGAACTGCTATCGCCTTCAGGCGACGGTGGAAAGTGGCAGCAATGCGTTCCCGGGGGTCGCTGGTCAGGGGAGCGTAGGTGGAAGCGTCATCCAGCAGGTCCCGGGCCTTCTGCAGGTAGGAGGCACGGTCGAGGACCAGCGCCGAGTTGCCCTTGTCAGAAGGCAAAATGGTGACATCCTCCCTGCGCAGGCTTTGAAGGGCCTCACGGTAACGCCTGGGGATAGAAGGGTTAGGATGGAGGAGAGATTCGAGGGCCCGGATGAAGGCACTACGAAGGAGAGAGACATCAGGCAAGGAGTTCCTATGAGAAGAGATGAACCGGTCAAAAGATGAAATAATGTCGATGGAGGTAAGGGGGTGAGGGCGGAGAGCAAAGGAAAGACCGAAGCCAAGGAGTTGTTGCTGGTGGGCGGTCAAGGTCAGGGAAGATGGAAGGTTGGTGACAGCGTCGGTGAGGGAGAAGCGGGACCAGGGACTGCGGGTGGTGAGGCTGAAGAGTTTCCGGGAGAGAGAGCGGCCATGGTTGATGGAGAGGGACCGGGAAGAATCGTGGGCGATGTCAGCTAAGAGCTGGAAAACATGACTGGGGAGCCGCTCCTTCAGGAAGTCAGAACGTACCCGTGAACGGTAGAAGGCATGTTCGACATCCCTCTTACCAGCGTGGATCCGTTCTAGTAGGAGAGAACGAGCATAGGCAGGAAAGGGAGATCCTTCTTCTGAAAGTTTCAGAATGTTATGAATAGAGGAAGGAAGCACCTGCTCCTCGAGGCAGTCGCGGAGGAAACGAAGTTGATTCTTCCGTCGGGCCGTGGCGACGACAGAATCCTCGTAAGCACGAAAGGCAGGAACCAAGTCAGGGAAGGAGGCAAACAGGAACGACAGGAGATTTCTTTTAACCGTGGGGTCCATGATGAATGAGGAAAACACTCTACCGTGTTGATACTATGGTAGAAAACCATCAAATTGTACGACCACTCCTCGAGTATTGTAAATAAATGGGTAACAAACCTATCTTAGAAAATGTTTAATGCAGGGCAGATGGTACCAGGGCTGCGAGATCGATCGCACGAACAACGGTAGATCATCAAAGGTTACTATCACGAGGAATGAAGCCAAGTTATGTTTGAAAGAACTGAGAATACATATATATAAATATATGCACACGTGCACGCGCGCGCGCACACACACACACACACACACACACACACACACACACACACACACACACACACACATACACACATAATATATAATATAAGTATATATATATATATATATATATATATATATATATATATATATATACATATATATATATATATACATATATATATATATATATATATATATATATATATATATATATATATATATGTATATATATATATGTATATATATATATGTATATATATATATGTATATATATATATGTATATATATATATATATGTATATATATATATGTATATATATATATGTATATATATATATATATATATATATATATATATATATATATATATATATATATATATATATACATATATATATATATATATATATATATATATATATATATATATATATATATATATATATATATATATATATATATGTATATATATACATGCGACATCCACAGTCCTTCCGCCTCGTGACGTCGCCCCGTATACACGATTACATCCTTTCCTTCACACATCCTGATACACTGCAGCCCCTGTGTATTTCCTAGTAAAATCTGTATAAAAGAGGATCGCCTGCGATCGACAGACAGACAGCCTACAGCATGCTGACCAGACCGAACGTCTGTCCGTCAGATGTATCATACTCTCTCTACAATAAACTTCTGCTAGTAAACTGTCACACCTTCACCACTACCCAAGATTACCGCATCGTACCAGACGCGACTTGTCTGCACTCTACCGCTCATCGGCCTCATTACAGTGTGTGTATGTATGTGTGTGTGTGTGTGCGTACGTGCGCGCGCGTGTGTATATGTGTGCGTGCGTGCGTGTGTGTGTGTGCGTGCGTACGTACGCGCGCGTGTGTATATGTGTGCGTGCGTGCGTGTGTGTGTGTGTGTGTGTCCGTGTGTGTGTGTGCGCGCGTGCGTGCGTGTGTGTATTATACTATATTATATATTACATACATATATATACATATATATACATTTATATATGTATGAATCTATCTATCTATCTATCTATATACTCACACACACATACACACACACACACACGCACACACACTCTCACACACACATACAAATGTATAATGTTTGTGTATCTGTCAGTCTAAATATGAAACATATAATCCAAGCAAATGGCACACCCACTCACAGAGTTAGATCTTCCTGTGCGTAATACCAGGGAACAGCAACGCAGGTCGTAAGCTTCTTTTCGCCTGTCCTTTTATCAGTCACTGATGGCCAGGTTCGGACTCTAAACAATTCTCACATAAGGAGCTTATCGAGGAACCAATTCAGGAAACTTCTCAGGTGTTAACATAGGCGACGAAAATGTAAAGACCTTTTTAACTCCAATAACTTCATATACATTTACAGCTGCATTGATTCACAACGAAGCTATAAGTATTATGTTATTCTTTAAACCATAAACCATTCGGTATTCATAATCAACGTTTTATTATATTTGATTTTGCTTTGTTTGCTCGCATATGCATATATCTCATCCATAATACTATGCTGTATTCATTTCATGTTACTAAATATTTCAAATAGCTTTTGTTTACATAAGTTAATTGTATTTTTTGTCATCTTGTAATGAGTATGTACCTTGAGTATCAGCATACTAACCTGAGATAGTCAACCTCATATAGTGTGTAGTAACCAAAGCACCGGCCGGCGCTGATACACTTTCTGAGCTGCAGAGCTCCCGAGGACTGGTGATGCCGCTAGCCTTGGTGCGGTTGCTGATGTAGGATGCTGGAATGGAAAGATAAATATGTATCCAGAATCTGACACTCCTAATCCCATCTAGATCATTTATTAGCCACAGTATCATCTACTGATCCAGATGTGATGACATAATGCTCCAGGTTGTTCTGCGACCTTCTGCGTGAAGTTCTGCCGTATTCTGCTGTACTACCGACATGGGCTGCTGTGCCGGGAGAGGGTATGCGGCAAGTGCGAGCCGCCTGGAGCTAACAGCGACAAAATTCATCAGGGGCAAGTTTGTGTCAAGCAGGAGGCGGTGGAGGCGACGTACACTGGGGCAGAGTTTCGATTTCAAGGCCAAAAGTCTGCCGGTTTTGCCATCGTATTTTATGCGTTATTTAATGTTGGAATGATTATACCAAACTAAACAAAAACCTTTGCCTATGCCAGAATTCCGTGTGTATGTGTGCATGCACACACGTGTTGTAAATGTATGCTTGTCTTTTGTTTAAGTGTTTGAAAATATACTCTGCACTAGTTCAACTCTTTTGAATAGCTTATCAGGATGCTCATGGCTTGAATTCACTTAAGCTTAAGCCATACAAGCTGACCCCCCATTTCATGACAGGCTGTTCACACT